CTCCAGCTCTTGGGCTTAGGCAATTCTCTTGCCTCAGCCTCCCGAGGAGCTGGGACAACAGGCACCCGCCACAACACCCAGCTACTTTTTGTTGCAGTTTGGCTGGGGCCAGGTTCGAACCCGCCACCCTTGGTATATGGGACCAGTGCCTTACTCACTGAGCCACAGGCACTGCCCAATTTTCAAATTCTGATATTGTACTAGACTTATATAATCATTGGGGTATGTGTTTTGTACTATGTTTGCAACTTCCTATGAATCTCTATGTTAAAATAAAGTTTTCTAAAAGGACATCAGAGTAAAAAATAAAGCTCTTAAAAATTAAAAACATTGGCTTGGTGCCTGCTGCACAGTGGTTATGGCAGCAGCCATATACACCAGCTGGCAGGTTCAAACTCGGCCCTGACCAGCTAACCAATTGACAACTGCAGCAACAACAACAACAACAATAAAATAGCTGGGTGCTGTGCGGGTGCCTGTAGTCCCAGCTACTTGGGAGGCTGAGGCAAGAGAATTGCTTAGCCCAAGAGTTTGAGGTTGCTGTGAGCTGTGACATCACAGCGCTCTACCGAGGGCAACATAGTGAGACTCTGTCTCAAATAAAATAAAATTAAAATTAAAAACATTATGGCAGAAATTAAAATTCAATAGAGGGCAGCACCCATAGCTCAGTGGGTAGGGCACCAGTCACATACACTGAGGCTGGTGGGTTTGAACCCAGTCCAGGCCAGCTAAAACAACAATGACAACTACAAAAACAAACAACAAAAAAAGCTGGGCGTTGTGATGGGCACCTGTAGTCCCAGCTACTTGGGAGGCTGAGGCAAGAGAATCGCTTAAGCCCAAAAGTTTGAGGTTGCTGTGACACTCTACCCAAGGTGACATCTTAAGACTGTCTCAAAAATAAATAAATAAATAAAAACCAAAATAAAATAAAATAAAATTCAATAGAAAGATTGAAAGATAAAGTTAAATCTCCTAAAAAAGACACAGATGAAGAAAACAGGATATAAAACTTAAAATTAGAGAACCAGTCACATAGGTACAAAACTAGAATAATGAGTTCAACAAAAAGAAGATGGAAAAATAAGAGAAATTAACAAGGAAAAAAATTTAAGACTATTTTATAGAGTAGAAAGACATGAGTTTCTAATGCCTTCTAAAATGAGTGAAAGTAGACCATAGCAAGAAATGTCTTTGTAAACGTCTTTTTTTTTTTTGAGACAGAGCCTCATTCTGTCATCCTATTCTGGGTATGAGTGCCCTGGCCTCATAGCTCACAGCAACCTCAAACTCTTTGGTGATCCTCTGGCCTCAGCCACCCAAGTAGCTGGGACTACAAGCCCCTGTCACAATGCTTGGCTAGTTTTTCTATTTTTAGTGGAGACGGGGGTCTCACTTTTGTTCAGGTTGGTCTCAGAACTCCTAAGCTCAACCAATCCACTTGCCTAGGCCTCCCAGAGAGCTAGGATTACAGGTGTGAGCCACCATACTGGCCTCTGTGAAAGTGTTAACACTGGGGACAAAGAGAAGACTATAAGCTTCTGAAGAAAAACAGTTCATAAAGCAACAGAGCAGTTGGACTTCACAGTGACACTAGACACTAGAAGACCACAAAACAATGTTTTAAAGATGCTCATGGATTTCCAGCCAAGAACTCTATACTCAGCCAAACTCTCAGGCAAATAGAAGTGAAGGTAGAATAATAACATTTGTAGACATATCTAACATTTAAGACATATATACAGAATATTTATTACTTATATACTCTTTAAGAAACTACTAGAAGTTGTCCCCCAGTAAGATTGTAAGCTGGGTATCTTTGTCTTGGGCACAAACCTATAACCAGAGAGGGCATTGTTGCTCCTCTCCCCCTACTCCTAAGACTATTCTTCCCCTCCTTTCTCCCATATTCTTGATCTCACTCATGGCACCAAAGAGTAGTCCAAACAAGGAACTTCAGCTAGCCACCATACTGTCACCTCTCAAAGCTAATTGTGGAGTCTTGATGATTTTAGCCCCAAATATTTCTCCTCAACTCTATCCCTCATTCCTTAATTTAGATCTATATCAAAATAGCAACCACTTAATCAATCTCCAGTCCTGGAGCCTCATCCAACCCATCCTCCATGATCTGACTATAGCCATCTGCCTAAAATGCAAATCTGACCACAGCACTCCCTTACTAAAACTCTACAAAAGCTTCTCAAATGCTGACCAGCAGGCAAGATAAATGTGGCTAACAGCCACTTTCCCCACCTACCTCTCCCATCTGTGACAGACAATACTAGTATTTTTATCAATATTATTTTTAATTCACCAATCATAAGTGTATATATTTATGGTGTACAATGTGATGCTTTGATAAATACATATATATGTGTATGAGGTCAGACAATTAAGATCTCGAACTTAACCTAGAAAAAATGCTTTGAAGGGTAGGCGAGGTGCCGTCCTCAGTGCCTAGCTTCCCAAAGGGAGTACTTTGAAGGTGACCACGATGATGTTTAGCAATGAGACATGCAGCTGTTTTTCTGCAATGAGTTTGTGAACTTAGTTGCCTGACCTCATACTATGGGGAATGATTAAATCAAGTTAATTAACATTATTTATCACCTCATTTACCTCTTTCTCCTCCACAGCCTACTCAAGGTAACAACAGGGATGAAGACCTTTATGATGGTCCACTTCCACTGAATGAATACTATATATGATTTTCTTTCTTTTTTTTCTTGAGACAGAGTTTCACTTTGTCACCCTCAGTAGAGTGCAATGATGTCATAGCTCACAGCAACCTCAAACTCTTGGGGTCAAGCAATCCTCTTGCCTCAGCCTCCAGAGTAACTGGGACTACAAGTGCCCACAACACCTGGCTATTTTTTTTAGAGAAGAGGTCTTGCTCTGGCTCAGGCTGGTCTTGAACTTGTGAGCTCAGGAAATCCACCTGCCTCTACTACCCAAGTGCTGGGATTATGCACCCGGCCCTTATGATTTTCTTAATAACATTTATCTAGCATAGTTTATTGTATGAATACAATATATAGGGCGGTGCCTGTGGCTCAAAGGAGTAGGGCGCCAGTCTCATATACTGGAGGTGGCAGGTTCGAACCTGGCCCCAGCCAAAAAAAAAAAAAACTGCAAAGAATACTATATATATGAGTATTAATTGTTTAGTAAGGCCTCTGTCAAAAGCAGACTATTATCTGGGAGGGTCAAAAGTTATAAACAGATTTTTTTTTTGAGACAGAGTCTCACTATGTCGCCCTTAGTAGAGTGCTGTAGCATCACAGCTCACAGCAACCTCAAACTCCTGGGCTCAAGCAATTCTCTTGCCTCAGCCTCCCAGGCAGCTGGGATTACAGGCACCTGCCACAACGCCCGGCTACTTTTTTGTTGCAGTTATCATTGTTGTTTAGCTGACCCAGGCCAGGCTTGAACCCACCAGCCTGGGTATATGTGGCTGATGCCCTAACGAATGAGCTACAGGCACAGCACCGAGCCTATAAACAGATTTTCTATTGTGCTGGGGGTTGGCTGTTTATTAACTATAGTCACCCTACTGTGCCATAGATTTCAAAAACTTATTCCTCTTGTATAACTGAAACTTTGTACCCTTTGATCAACTTCTCCACATTCCCACCGCTATCCCAAACTCTGGCAACTATTATACTATTATACACTATATATACTATATACTAATAGTATACTATTATTACACTATTATACACTTCTATGAGTTATTTTAGATTCCACATGTATGTATGATCATGCAGTATTTAGACATCATTAATTGATCAAGCCACTATCCTGCACCACCTAGGCTCAGCCTTACAACTTCTCCAGGTAGCAACAGGCATTCATTAAGAGATGAAACAGGGCGGCGCCTGTGGCTCAGTGGGCAGGGCACCAGCCCCATATACCGAGGGTGGTGAGTTCAAACCTGGCCCTGGCCACACTGCAACAAAAATTAGCCGGGCGTGGTGGCGGGCACCTGTAGTCCCAGCTACTCGGGTGGCTGAGACCAGAGAATCACGTAAGCCCAGGAGTTGGAGGTTGCTGTGAGTTGTGACACCACAGCACTCTACCAAGGGTGATAAAGAGAGACTTTGTCTCTAAAACAAACAAACAAAAAGAGATGAAACAACTACAACTCCAGTTAGGTATAAGCATGGAGAACCTTAGTGAGGCACAGAAGGCCCCTCCCAACGTTACCAGCTCACCTGACTTGCCACGTGTGGAACCCTTTTCTTTTCTCACTCCCTCAATTAAATCTTACTTTTTTCCCCATAACATCATGGTCTCATGACATCTTGATCCCCAAAATTTGTACTCAGATTGCTTACAGGTATCCCTTACTAGAGTGAATTTATTTAAGGGCAGAGGCCTTGGCTTAAACTCTTCGTGAGTCCAGCACCTACTGCGTGGTAGGAGTCCAGTATGTGTTTTGAAATTAAGTGGCCACTAGGGCAGCAGGGAACTAGGGTTGAAAAAGTTAAAACTGAAAGGGCCTATGGAGAAGGGGCAAAGCTACTGTCTGTTTTGCTCCCTTTTCCAATGGCTTGGTCTGCCCGATGGTGCTCTTCTCACATCCCCACAATCGGAAGCGACTGTCCCTTCTTTCTCTTCCCACTAGTGCTGGCCCTTCCTCGGTCTTTTACTCAAGTTTTGTAACTGTCACTCTGGGACTGTAAGCCCTTTGAGGGTAGGAGCTGGATGGTTGTTCCTTCGCCCCTTGAGCGGCAAGCACTGGCGTCCAGCACGTTGGTGGTGACAGATGGCCGCTGGGCGCCCGTCCCCCAGGCCGCCCCGCCCCCGCCCCCGCCCGGCCTTCCGACCCCTCCTCACGCCGGCCGCTTCCCGCCTTCCGGGCGGCGGAAGTCGCAGGCAGGTCTTCCCTGCCCACGTGGAGCGTCTGCCGGTGCGCCC